GAGAGACTGGAGCGAAACCGAGTGAACAGTTGTCGAGGTAGACCCTTTGTGAAGATATCTACGTATTGATAATCAGCTGGAACATGTATTACTCGTAAGGCACCAATGCGGACTTGTTCCCGAACAAAATGTATATCTATTTCGATATGTTTTGTACGTTGATGTTGTACGGGATTTCTGGTAAGATAAACAGCTGAAATATTGTCACAATAAATTACGGTGGCTTGACGCAAAGGTAAATGGAGCTCAAGCAAGAGATTGCGAAGCCAAGTTGTTTCAGCAGTAGCATTGGCAACACCTTTATATTCGGCCTCGGCACTTGAACGAGAGATAGTAGGTTGTCGCTTAGAAGACCAAGAGACAAGGTTGTCACCCAAGAAAACACAGTAACCGGATGTTGATCGTCTTGAGTCCGAACATCCCCCCAATCCGCATCAGAATAGGCTGTTAACTTATTGGATTTGGAGGGAGAAATATGTAAACCATGATTACTTGTTCCTTTTAAATAGCGCAGAATCCTTTTAAGAAAATTGAAGTGAGGGTCGTGCGGGGCATGCATAAAAAGACATACCTGCTGAACAGCATAGGCAATGTCAGGTCGGGTGAAGGGTGAAGGTTAAATATTGAAGCGCCCCAGCTAGACTGCGATATAAAGATGCATCTTTAAACGGTTCACCAGCTGTAGCACTAAGCTTACTTGCGGTGTCAACAGGGGTGGCACAAGGTTTGCAATCTTGCATGTTAGCACGTTGTAGAATATCTTGGACATATTGTTCTTGAGAGAGAAATAAGCCGCCATTGAGATGTTTAACTTCAATGCCAAGAAAATGATGCAAGTGGCCAAGATCAGTCATCGAAAACTCTTTAGATAGTAAAGTAATGAAATGCTGAAGAGTTTGTGTATCTGATGCTGTCAAGATAATGTCATCCACATATAACAAAAGATAAGCAGTTTTACCATTGCTATGATAAACAAATAGGGAAGAGTCGCTTTTGGTGCTTTGAAAACCGCAGGTGTGGACGAAAGTAGCGAATCGATGATACCAGGCTCGGGGAGCTTGCTTGAGGCCATAAAGTGATTTGTTGAGGCGACAAACGTATTTGGGGTTTTGTTCATTCACGAAACCCGGTGGCTGGAACATATACACCGTTTCCTTGAGATCCCCATGTAAAAAAGCGTTTTTCACGTCTAGCTGATGTATAGGCCATGATCGAGAAACGGGTAGACTGAGGACAGTACGGATGGTGGTTGGTTTAACCACGGGACTGAAAGTTTCGTCACAGTCAACTCCTACTTGTTGACTTTTCCCATTTATAACCAGTCGTGCTTTGTAACGTGCCAAAGTTCCGTTTGCATGAAATTTGTGTCGATATAACCACATGCAACGGATAATGTGAGCATTAGGCGGACGCGGTACAAGTTCCCATGTGTGATTATCCATTAGTGTTGTGTGTTCGTCAGTCATGGCACGAGACCAGTTCGGATCAGAGAGGGCTTGGGTATGTGATTTCGGAATAGGGGAAATATGGGAGGTATTTGTGTGTAAGTTATAATATGATTTTGGGTTGGAGGTGCTTGTGAGAAGGCGGGTTTGCATGGGGTGATGGGATGTGGTAGCGGAAGTTGGTAGAACAGGAAGTTGTGTGGGTGCAGGTGGTAGGGTGGCGGTATTGGTGGTATTTGTAGGTTGGCGGTTCCGGTGGGTATAAGTTAGTGGGTAATGGACAGCGGGCGGTATTGGGGGTGAGGTTGGTGTGGGTGGCGATGGTGAGGTAGATGATGGTGGTGTTGGTGTTAACGGAGGAGTGATGGATGGCGGAGGTGTGGTGGGTTGTGAAGGATGAGGTTCGAAAATGAGAGGGGAAGGATCGGATTCAGGAAATGGGTAAGTTGGTGGTGTGGTGGAGAGAGTGGCGAAGGGAAACAATGATTCGTCAAACGTGACATGTCGGGAAAGAAGAACTTTACCCGTGGAAAGATCGAGGCACCTGTAACCTCGATATTGAGGTGGATATCCAAGAAATACACAAGGTTTAGATCGAGGTGCTAGTTTATGAGGGTGAGTTGAGTTTAAGTTGGGGTAACATGCACACCCGAAGATGCGAAGGTGGTCATAAGTTGGGTTTTTAAGATAGAGAATGGAAGTGGGTGTTCGGTTTTGGAGGGTGGATGTGGGTAGAATATTATGTAAGTATGTGGCGGTGTGAATGGCATCAACCCAGTACTTTGGTGGAATGGAGGCATGGGTAAGAAGAGTGAGCATGAGGTCGTTAAGACGCCGAATCATGCGTTCGGCAGTGCCGTTTTGTTGGGATGTGTGTGGACAAGAGAAACGGATGTGTAGGCCGGTGGAAGAAGCAAAAGAGTGAAATTGATGGTTGTCAAATTCACCACCTTTGTCACATTGAAAGGTTTTAAGTGAAGTGTGAAATTGGGTTTGGATGAATGTATGGAACGTTTTGATTTTGTGTAAGGTTTCGGATTTGTATTTAATGGGAAAACCCCATGTATAATGTGTATAGTCATCGATTAAAACGAGATAGTATTTAAATCCGGTGTTACTTGGTATTGGCGATGTCCATAAATCCGCATGTATAAGGTCAAACGGTTTAAGAGTATTAGATGTAGAGTCTTTAAATGGTAGTCGTTTATGTTTGGCTATTTGACATGATTTGCAAACAAAAGATTTATCAAGTTTATTGCAACTAATAGTTTTATTAAAAATGAGACTATCCATTACATGAGTTCCTGGATGTCCTAAACGAGAATGCCAAATTAGCGAATTGTTATTACAAACTGAAAAAGAAAAGGTTGGAGTAGGCGCTTGATTTGTGCAAGACGTTTTGTAGGGAAAAAGGTTTGTTTGGGTGTGGTAAGGTGGTGTGGTCGGATCCGAGGACTGGTACCTGTTTACCATTACCAACAAACACAGATTTAATAGATGAAACACAAATGTTATGAAGTTTACCTGAGTCCACTGTGAGATGAGATGTAGCGCCTGAATCCATGTACCATTGATCGTCTTGCGGGTCCATGGTCATGGTGGAGAAAGCACCTTCAAGTTCAGAAGGCTCCAGAGGGTTGATCTCGGCTAAGTGGGCTTGCTGAGATGGTGGTTTGGGAGCAGCGGCTGGGGTCCAAGGGGCGGCCCAACCGGATTGAGTCGGGTATGGGCATGGAGGTGGAGTAGCCCACCAAGGATTGGACCATTAAGGCGGCGGTGGGTAGGCAGACCAAGGAGGTCTTTGTTGTCCAGGAGTGTTGCGCCGCTGGCTAGGGTTATTTGGTTGCTGGTTGTTTGAACGAACAGGAGGTTGATTAGGCCTATTGTTCGATCGGTTTTGTGGGGTGTTGTTGCGCCGAGGAGGGTTTCTTTGGGTTTGACGTTCTCGGTTTGGTTGAGCATCACGCCTTGGTGGTGGTGGTTCCTGAGCAATAGTAGCTGCAACCTCGTTGGGTAAGATTGCATCTCGAGCACGTTGGTGTTGATGTTCTAATTGTAACATCGAGTAAGCCGTGTCCCATGGGGGTAGTGTTTGGTTGATGTAGGCAGCAATCGTGTCAAACTCCGGAGGTAGGCCGCGAACCAGTTGCAATATGAGGCGATTTGGAGCGACCGGGCAATCGACATCTTGGAGTTGACTTGCCAGATCTTTGAGGCGTTGGCAGTAAGCCTCAAGAGACGGCATGGAACGCAGATTCAAGTTATTGAATTCTTGTTCTAGAGCAGCAGCGCGAGATCCTTTGTTGTTGAGGAAGATCTCTTTGACTTTGTTCCATGCACCAAGAGCGGTGGTTTCATCAAGAACTCGGACGAGAAGTTCATCCGAGAGGGTTCCGTAGATCCATTGGAGAACAATTGCATCAATCTCTGACCAGGCTTCATATGACGGGTCTGTTTCTTTAGGAGGGGCTGTAGTGCCATCAATATGAGAAAGCACCTTATACCCGCGAGCATGGAGTTTGAACAAGCGTACCCAAGATGTATATGTGACTTTCGTACCATCGAGGATCTGAACCTTGTTCTGGATATTTGTGACAGTGTAGACGGGGTGTATGGCTTTGGACTGATTCTGGTTTGTGCCAGATCCGCCGGAATTTTCTGGTTTGTCATCGGTCACCATGGTGATAGGATTGAGAGAAAGGTTTTAAAAGAAATCGGTATTGAGCCTTCAAGGACTCTGATACCATGTAATTGTTTTAGATTCGATGCCCCTTTTTCATTAAACATCAAACAGAATATATACACGTTTACAGTCCTATAAACTAGGAAACTTAACAAACTAATTATCTAAAATAGGAAAAGATATCTACAAATAATAATTACAAAGATACAAAATAATATATGCATTTATTGCATATATATCGATTAATAATTAGATGATATTTTTTCAATTATCTTTAATTTAATAATGTATATTAATCACTTTCTTAAATTAAGTAAAATGATTGGCCCACATTTATGCATACAATAACACAATAATTAGTTTAAATAGAATAACCTATATATATATATATATATATATATATATATATATATATATATATATATATATGATCAAGTGCCAGATCATGTTAATCCCGATAATTACATCCCCCATTATTCACTGATAATCAACAGCCCTTGAAGAATGAAAATAAACACAGAAGAAATCAACTTCCTTTCTTTATTCACTTGTAGTTGGATGTTGTATGATGATGTTCTTGTTGCTTTTTGGTGCTAGTTTCGATTGATCTGCAGAAATGATGAGAAGTGTATACTCCACAGTGAATAATTCCAATCTCGTCTCCAATTTCCTACTATAACATGTTGAATTTCTTCACTCGATTCATAACCCATTTTAATGGCATAAAACCCGACTGCTTTTGAATCTTTCTTCTTGGAATCGATCAGATTCATAACCCATTCTTCATTGTGTTTCTACAACTAAAAACACCCCCCCCCCCCCTATAAGACACCTTCTTTATCAGATCTACTTCATCAACTTCATTATCAGATCTACTTTTGATTACCAAATTTCCACCTGTCGTCGATCTCCTTCTTTTTCATCTTCTCCAACTCCTGTAATTTCTTTACATTCAAGAAGAAATCAATCATGACAGTTTCATAAGAAGACAATTTTTCGTAACGAGGGAAGTAATTCATATTAATCACCAGATACCCATCTTCTTCACCATCTCTAATCATATCGAAATTAAACAAGTACAATCTAAGAGCCTTTCTCAGGCCCTTCACCACCTTAACGAGGAATTCAGATGTCTGCATCTTTAGCTCCTCACCGGAGTTATTATCACTCCTTCCGTCGTCACCAGCGATTACAACACCTAATATCCGAGAAAAACTTATAGTTTCTGGGAGAAGACGATTTTGAATCGGTTTTCAAGGGTTGGATCGATGAGACTACTAATTCTGGAACCGGTCTTGTTGCTGTCAAAAAGCTTAATCAAGAAAGGGGAGAAGAGAGTAGAAGCGAAAGGGGAAGCCGACAGTCACAAAACAAAGATGGGTTTGCTTTGTAGGTGAAGAGAGAGAGAGAGAGAGAGAGAGATGGGATGAGACCCATTGCATATTAAATTTTATTTATTTATTTATTTATTTTTAAAAAGTACTAGAAAACCTCCTAAATGGTCCCTGGTAGTAAAATGACAAAAATGCCCCTTACTTAACGGCTAAATGGTAACGGAGTGAGCCGGAATGACCAAATGTTAAAAGTTTTGAAACCACTGGGACGATCCGTGAGGTTTTTGTAAATTAGGGACTAAACTTCAGATTTTCAGAAACCACAGGGACCATTTTTGAAGTTTTGTCTTTTTAAAAAGTAGTATGCCTTATGGGGAAGAGCAATATAGAGTCGTAGCAGTCTGGAGGAGGAGAGGGATAAGCGGGAGGAGAGCAATATAGAAAGAGAAGGGAGTTTCGGTTTGAGGAACCCACTGGAGGTTGAAACCGAAGAAGAAATTTGGGGAAGACGGGTTGGGAGGCATCCGGCTTGGGCGACTTTGACTCCCTTCACCTTGGGTCCAGTGGCTTGAGCGGGAGGAGAGAAACGATTCCGTCCTCCCTTAGGCAGACGGAATCGTTGTTGGGTTCGCCGATAGTTTAGGAATTTAGTGGCGGTACCGTCGGCTCATGTTTCCTTCACATGCGGGTTCTAGTGGGATGAAATATTCATTGTGTTTAGCGGGTTCGCCAACCCACTGTTAGGGAGGACGGAATCGTTTCTCTCCTCCCACTCAAGCCGCTGGACCCAAGGTGAAGGGAGTCGAACTCGCCCAAGCCAGATGCCTCCCAACCCGTTTTCCCCAAATTTCTTCTTTGGTTTCAACCTTCAACGGCTTCCTCAAACCGAAACACCCTTCTCTTTCTATATTGCTCTCTTCCCGCTTATCCATCTCCTCCTCCAGCCCGCTACAACTCCTTCCCCCCTTATACATGCATATTGAGATGAATAGCCAATAACATAATTTGCTTCGTGCCATTATTCTTTTCATTCAATGCAAGATGTAAATTTCTATGTTTGTTTTTTTTTTTTATTACAAAAAACAAATTATGTACAACATTTATTGTTTTCTTTTTCTTTTAATAGAACAAATTATTTTAGCAATTTTTTTAGTTTTAAATTAACAAAACTCTATTTTTAAAGAAAACAAATAAATATTATGTTTTATTTTATTTTATATTTTTTAATTATATTAAATAAAGAAAAATAACGTAAATGGTTGATTTTCATGTATATTGATTGAGAGTGACCGAAACCTGGAAGGGAAGGACGTACAAAATTCGTTAAAACACTACGTGCTTCTTCCGATGTTCGGCAATCATCAGTGATTGTGATTCTGTTCGTCTCAATTTTGCTTCAGTTTACACTTACACACAAATGAAATCAATCTCCATCTGCAACCCCAAATCCATATCTGCTACTATTGCTTTTGCATTACAATCGTTGCTACAATTTCATCATCAATGCCACCCAACTCCCCTTCAATCACACTCACCGAATACACTACTTGATGAATTCACTGCCTCCTGTTATCGCAAAGACCTCCCGGCTGCCATGAAAGCTTTGTCTTTCATGCAAAAGCACCAAATTTGGGCCGATTCCGTCACATATTCTGAACTCATTAAGTGTTGTCTCGCTCGTGGCGCCATCCAAGAAGCCAAACTAGTCCATAAACACGTTTTCTCTAATGGGTACAACCCCAAAACTTTCTTGATTAATACTCTCATGAATATGTACGCCAAATTTAACTTATTAAACGAAGCACAGGAACTGTTCGATGAAATGCCTGAGAGAAACGTAGTCTCTTGGACCACCATGATAGGTGCTTTCTCTAATGCAAAAATGAACGACAAAGCTATGGAGTTCTTGATTCTTATGATAAGAAACGGAATTCGCCCCAACATGTTTACTTATTCTTCTGTTTTGGGATCCTGCAATGGCTTACCCATACTCAAGCAAATCCATTGCAGCATAACTAAAGCTGGTTTGGAATCTGACGTATATGTCAGAAGTGCACTCATTGGTAAATATTCCAAATGGGGTGAACTCCAAAACGCATTAACCACTTTCAACGAAATGGAAACAAGTGATTTAATCGTCTGGAACACAATAATCGGTGCATTCGCTCAAAACAACAATGGAGATGAAGCTTTGAATCTCTTCAAACGAATGAAGAAATCCGGATTCATGTCAGATCAAGCAACATTAACCAGTGTCTTAAGGGCTGTCACAGGGATGGCTTTATTAGAACTTGGAAGACAAGTCCATGTTCATGTCCTCAAGTACAACAACCAAGACTTGATTCTTGGAAACGCGCTTCTTGACATGTATTGCAAGTGTGGAAGCATGGAAGATGCAAGATTTGAGTTTACAAAAATGGTGGAAAAAGATGTAATCTCATGGAGCACAATGATAAATGGTCTAGCACAAAACGGTTTCAGCCATGAAGCTTTGAAAATGTTTCAAACCATGGAAGCTTCCGGAAGCAAACCTAACTACATCACAATGGTTGGAATCCTATTTGCTTGTAGCCATGCGGGATTAGTGGAAAAGGGTCGATTTTACTTTGAAAAAATGGAAAGTATTTATGGGATTAAACCAGGAAGAGAGCATTATGGTTGCATGGTTGACCTACTTGGAAGAGCCGGTCAACTCAATGAGGCTGTAAAATTGATACACACCATGGAGCCGGGACCCGATGTGGTGACGTGGCGGACTCTGCTCAGTGCATGTGGGATGCACCGGGACACAGGGTTAGCCGCGTATGCGGCTAACCGAGTCCTGGAACTTGACCCTGAGGATTCGGGTACATATAGTTTGCTATCAAACATATACGCGAATACTCAAAGGTGGGAAGATGTGGAAAAGGTGAGGAAAACAATGAGGGGTAAAAACGTAAAAAAGGAACCCGGGTGTAGTTGGATTGAAGTGAATAAAGAGATTCATGCGTTTATAGTGAGGGATGATTCGCATCCAGAGATAGAAAAGATTATGAGAGAGGTGAATTGTTATGTTAAGAGGTTAAGAGAAGTGGGATATGTTCATGATACGAGTTTTGTGTTGCAAGATGTTGAAGGGGAACAAATGGAAGATCCTTTGTTGTGTCATAGTGAAAAGTTGGCGATTGTTTATGGTTTAATGGTTTTGGTTAAGGGAAAGACTATTAGGATTAGGAAAAATATTAGAATTTGTGGAGATTGTCATCTTTTTGCTAAACTTTTGGCGAAAATGGAGAATAGGAATATAGTTATTAGAGATCCGATTCGTTATCATCACTTTCAAGGAGGAGTTTGCTCTTGTGGGGATTATTGGTAGTGACATTAGGATCGATTTTGCTTTCAAATTTTCTTACCTACTAAGGTATTCGGAAATCTACTTAATTATAGCATTGAATTTTCAAAAAAAGAAAAAAAAAATCTTGTTAGACATTATACACATCAAGAATCCACCCAATTATAGGAGTGAATATGCTTTGTATTTTGATGGGATTAGTATAATTGGGTAGATTTTTGGAAATATAGTTTTGTAATAGGATGAAATGAAAGTAGATGATATGATAAACAAATGAGTAAATTATACTGATGGTCCTTATGGTTTGGGTTAATTTGCATGTTGGTTCCTAACTTATTTTTTTAATTCGGATCGTTCCCACTATTTGTATTTGTTGCACCCCTGGTCCTTCCTAGACATAAAGAGACTATTTTGTCATGAGTTGTTTATTCTTTTTATTAAATTGTATTATATATTTATTTAAATAATAAAATGAATTAAAATAAAACATAACCCTCTATTTATGAATTTGACTTTTGGTTTGAAAGAGTTTCTGATTCTAGTGGATTTGGTGGGATGTTTTTTTCGGTGGAAAAGGTGGTGATGTTTTTCATATAACCTCATAATCTCATATGCTTATTATCTTGAACAAGTTGTAACGTGATTTGGAAAAATGGTTCCTCTTGTTCTTTGTTCCAGTTCACTTTGTATGAACCTCCTTGATTAGGAACACCTAAAGATATAGATGCCATGATTTTTAAAACTGTTATGAACCAATTAACCTAATAATGTATTATAGAGCCAATTAAATAATAAAAAGGCAACATAAAAACACCAAACTTGAAAATATATTTCCCACTCGTATCAAGGAGAGTTACTTTGATAAATAGAGCACCCAATGAACCAAATGTTGGAAGTCTGGAAGAGATAAGGGAGTGGGTGTGTAATTATTAGCTTAATTATAAATAGATAATTACAATAATTAAAAAAAGATATATAAATAAATAAATAAATAAATAAGGGCAAAAGTAGTTTTTTTTTATGCTGGGGTACCACTAGATGTGGAGACGGGCCACCAAGGGGTAAAAGGGTATTTGGTCTCTTATTGATTGGGTTATCTACATTTTGTCGTGGGGTGTTAAGTTGGGCTAACATTTTCTTTTTCGTCTACACCACAGAAAGGGGAGTATTAATTTTTTTTTCACACAAACGGATGGTTTAAAATAAAAAATATAATGTCCTTTGAAAATTCAAATCATTTGAAAAGACTATTTTGATCTTTGATTTTGTTTTCCATTTATTTTATTTACTTAAATATTTTTATAATTAAAAAATATATAAAATAAAGGGTAAATTACACCATTCGTCTCTCGTGTACATGTCAGAAAGCGTGTTTAGTCCTTATTTTCAAAAATTAACTCGGACCATCCCTTGTTTGTTTTAACCTTACACGCTTCATCCCTGAAAGACGATTTTGTTGCAAACTTAGTCCATGCCTAATTTAAAATGACCATAATACCCTTATATTTTATTTTTTAAATTAATTTAATGTTTTTATTATGAATTTCAATTAAAAAAATAAAATAAACCCCCTCCCCTTCATTTTCCCCAACCCATCCATCCCTTCATTGTTACTGATCGGAAAGAAGCACCCAAACACAACATACAAACTGCAGACCACCACCACCGTCTCCACCCTCTGACGAACATTCCTCACCCCTTTCTGATGGGTGGTTGTGGTCTTCGTTCTAGAGCCTTTTCATCGGAATCTAGTGCTCGTCTTCTCTGGCGGAAACGACGGGATCTAACGGAGGCTCCTGCGATGGTCTTCGACCTCTTTCTCTACCCTCTTTCTTAATCTAAATCTGACAGAGACTCCTTTCGACGCCCACCCTCACCGTCACCGGCTCACATGTGTGCCGCTATTAACGTCGGTTAGGGTTTCGACAGATCTTCGTTTAAAACATCTATCTCTACAGTCAGAATCGAAGTTGAGTCTACATTTGTTCAACTGAAAACCTTCGTCTTCATCACCACCTGTTCGCCGAAGATGGAGCGTTCATCGCCACTTGTTGGGTTTTACACCGGTTTGGGCTAGGTATTTGAGAGTTACATGTCGGATTTGCAGATGCGTGATTGGCTGATCGCCAGTGGAGTTACAGAAAATAGGATAAGGTTTCTGAGCGAAACTACGATGGTGATGCTTTGTCGGAAGTCGACGATCACCTTCTTCACCGGTGCCCCACCATCAGAAGTCGTCGATGAAGTCTCAGATGGAGGGTTTTAGATCGAGGTGTTACCAGAGAAATAAGGAGGTGAGAAAAGGGGAGAACGGAAGTGTCGTAAGGAGGGGTGTGGATTTTTAGTTTATTTTCTTTTTTATTATTTAAAACAAATAAGGAAATAAAAGAAAATCTAAAAAGAAATAATCCAGGGTAAAACAGTCATTTCATGTCAATAGGGACTAAGCGTGCAAGAAAAATCAAACCTAGGGACGGTCCAAGTTAAATTTTGAAAATAGGGACTAAACATGCTTTCTGGCATGTACACAAGGGACTATTGGTGTAATTTACCCTAAAATAAAATTGAACCCCTAATGACCCCACCCAACTAATACATCTCTATTTAAAACACAATCACTCTATTTCTCAATCATCCTTACTACATGAAATTACCATCAACCACCGTCGGCAACCATTAGCCACCACTAGGTCATGCCCGATCCTGATGGTGGGCAACCGGGACGGTCACTCAGGGCCATGTCTCTAAGGGACCCAAAATTTGTAGAGTATATGGTATAATTATATATATATATATATATATATATATATATATATATATATATATATATAATATATATATTATATATATATATATATATATATAAACAATTTATCTAAAAATGTTAGGAGAAATATTTTACTTTAAATTACGTGTTTTTGTAATGATTTGATTATTTTTTTTGTTTTTTAGTATTAAAAGTGAATTTTATAATGTTGTGTGTATTTTCTATTTATTTTTTATTATATTTATGGTTTTTGGGGGCCCATTTTTTCTTTTCGCTCTGACCACTTTTATCTTTGGACCGGCCTGCACTAGGCACCACTGTCACGTCGGAAACCACCGTCATACTCACGGAGAACCATTGCCACTGATGGAAACCACCAAAGTTGCTACCTACTCCAACCACCTTCACCGATGTAATCAGTGCAAGTCGATATGTGATCAATCGATAGAATTTTCATTGCAATGGTAAGTAAATAAAAATTTCTCCCCTTGAACAAATTCTTCGCTTTCAACTTTCAGTATGTCGGAACTTCCAATCCTGATTTTTTTCTCCTCTTCTGAGCTCTATAATACGTTAGTCTTGTCAAATAATTCAGATTTTTGAATTATATTTCCAAATTGTTAGCTTTGATTATTTTCTCCTCTTCTACTTTTCTTCGCAACATAATATTAAGGTAATTTCAGATTTCTTTTCGAATCTTGTTTGGTATTTTGGTAATTTATTTTCTGTAATGTAATATGCGAAATAGTAATTGACTAATTGTTTCCAATAGTCAACTATGGAACTATGGTTTTTGGATATTTTAAGTATTTAAAACTATTTTTAGGTATATATATATATATATATATATATATAATATATATATATATATATATTCTTGGCGCATCGCGTGCTCTAGGCGAGCGCTTAGTGCGTCGGCCCCAAAGGCTTTAGCGCTTTAGGGCACTTTATGCTTTTTAAGACTATTACGTATGGGTCCGTTTTGGTAGTGTTATAACAAGAAGCAACAAAAAAAAGAGGGTGGTGTTCATGGTGTTATAACACCCTTTAAGAGGAGAGAGATATGGAAAGATAATTCGATAGCCAATAGATGATCTCGTTTCTTCTTGTCATTGAGACAACAAGAAGCAACACAATAAGATGCAACAAGAAAATGGGTGATGTTTTTGATGTTACCACGCCGTTATGGGCAGCCACATCATCCTTAACGACGTTGTGGTAATCCATACCACATGCTCTAAAACCAAGGTTTTCATTATTTGTTACTTCTTTTAACATAATTACTGTCTATTTGTTAACAAAAATCAGTGACTGTATGGTGTTTCGAACAAAATCAATGCTTTCAACTTTTGAGTAACAGCTAATATGGTGTTTCACTTTGAGATCACTAAATTCTGGTTTATATGCCCCCCTACTATAATGGACCTTTTAATTGCTTTTCACATTGTAATTTGATATTTATGTTTTTAATTGCCTTTACCTCACATACATCCCTCTCACCTTCGGTGTCTCCCCAACTCCAGTAAGCTATTTCATCCATGTTTTGGATCTGGATGTTAATTTTAGGGTAAATTACACCAGTCGTCCCTCGTGCACATGCCAAAAAACGTGTTTAATCCCTATTTTTAAAAATTAACTCGGACAATCTCTGGTTTGGTTAAAAGTTGCACATGTCATCCCTCGTTGGTTTTTATTTGCATGTTTAATCCCTTTCAAGACATGAAATGACTGTTCTACCCTTTTTATTCTTTTTTTCATTTATTTTATTTTTCTTACTACTATTTATTATATACAAAATAAAATAAAAAATGCAACCCCTCCCGTCTTATACTGCCTTCCCTTCTAAACCATCTTTCCCCCTAAATTCTTTGACAGAATCACCACCGTCGGGCCATCACCACTACCCACAACCATCAACCACCACCTATTTTTACTCGAATTAGCCTTCGTCACTCAAAAAAAATTACACAACCACTGGCATCACTAAAGCCATCTCACCTGGAACTTATTAGCATCATAATCACCTTTATATCCACCCACAACCAACCACCATCAACACTATACATAACCCACTACAAACCACCACCTTAATCATCACACCCCCACCAACCCAGCACATTATGCAAGTCAGTGATCACACAAAGAATTAAAAAACTAAATTAAAACTCCCTTGTTCGTCGATTTTATACTCCCTAACCTCCAATTCGTTGTCTTCTTCACCTCACTAGAAAAAAACAATACCTAAATTATAAAGGTGTGTTCCATTCTCGATCTGTATCTAAAAGAAACAGGAAAGAAAGAGGTTGGTTCAGCTTAAGTTCCAAACGAGAAACATATTCGAATAAATATGGTCATGGGTTTGAAATGTGTTGTCATCATCAAACAATCTAGGCTTTGTCATCACCTGAATCACCATCGGTTGCACCACCTCGTACATCAAATCTAAGATGGTTGCCGCCTAAGTTTTCGACCCACCACCCGTTTCATGACAAATTTTACTTCGGGAGTTCCAGATTGAACACCACCACCACCTGTAATCTATGCTTCCATCATGTGTCCCCACCACAATTGGAGTTGGTTGAAGATTTCAGGAAGTTGTACATGGTGTGTGTGACCGGTGTTTGTTAGACCAGTTTTAAGTCAACTTAAGAAGAAAATCGATGGTGAAACGGAGATGCTAAGTTGAGTTCGAAACGAGAATGGGGTGGAGTTGGAAAAGTCACCACTGAATCGCCTGAAGGTATTGATCGGGGGTGGGGAGCTTTCTTCTAATTATTAAGAAAGGGACATTGGGGAAAGGGGAGGGGAGAGTGGTTAGGTGGAGAAATTTATTTTATTTTTCTTTTTTTAAAGTTAAAAAAGATTAAAGAATAAAATAAAAACTAAAAAAGAAAATATTAAGGGCAAAATAGATTTTTTATGTCAAGAGGGATGAAGTGTGCAACTTTTAAATAAATGAGGGACGATTCAAGTTAATTTTTGAAAATAAGGATTTAACATACTTTTGGGCACCTACAGCAGGGACGAACGGTGTAATTTACCTTAATTTTATTTCCGAGTCTAACATTTTTTTAGTATTAGGGTTTTTTTGGTACTTTTCCAATTTGAAGTCAAATTCTTTGTTTTGGATGAGTACATTTTGGTACTTTGATATACTTTACTTATCTTTTCACTATTTGGGGTTTCACAATTCCATTACGAAGGATTTTTTGGATGTTTTTTGATAATTAAATATCCAGTTTGAGCATGGTGGTAGTGGACTGGATTCCACAGCCATTGAAATTGTTAATGATCATTCTTTCTATATTCTGCAAGTAACATCCCAAAATCTCTCTTATGACTGTTACCTTACTAAGTTCTCTGTAGAGTTTCCTCTAGTTGTTTCACGTCATGTTTGTATTTATTAGCAATATATACACATATATATCGAATTCATTTAGACAGAAATTACAATAAGTTAATCAGTCACATTTAAAGAGGACAAAATTCTTGAAACAATTATTGAGATGAGTTTCTTCCTTCAAACTCCTAATCATCTGAAAATCGGAACAAACAGTCGTTTCCTAGTTTTCACAGAACTCAACCACATAGGGCCTATTTCTGCATTATATTATAAAATTGATACATTGGACTTTTCAGAGTTGGTGTATCGGTGGGACCATAACCCTATTTTGCAAACATAAACCCACCTAATTTACAAGGAAATTTCAAAAAGGATCTAACCTACTCCTGCTCTTCACGAGAGAAATAAACAAGATGTATGCAGATGTGCAGATGTTCATGGGAAAGTTGCAGCAGCTGATAAACTGCAACGATAATGAATTGATCAACAACCAATCAATTTTATGTGAAAGGCCTCAATTCCATCTGCTTTATGAAGAACTTGGCTCCATGATCCAAACCCTTTTCAACCACGAAGACCAAGATCTACACAACTTTGAAGAAATGAAAAAACTGAAGAAAAGATTCAAAGCTGCAGCTGAAGAGGCAGAATATATCGTCGATATCTTTCTATCCGCTGTCCACTGTAGAAACAACAGGTATTCACCTATATCTAATGTCTTCCAGCCCTATCTCCACCTTGAGGTTGTTATGAGATCAATCGATTCTATCAAGATGGAATTCATGACTATGAGGATGGATAACATGAAGATGGACGCTTCTCAGAGAACTGACAGACTGCAAATGCAATCTTCTGGAACTTCCCGCAGTAGAAATTCAATCGGATCGAATAAAGTAAAGGAAGAAATGGTTGTGGGGTTTGATCGTGATGCTGAGATAATACGGGACAAGCTTGCTGAAGATGGAAAGCATCTAGATGTGGTCTCTATTGTTGGCATGGGTGGAATTGGTAAGTCAACCCTTGCTAACAAAGTGTTCACTGATCCTTTTGTTGTTTATCATTTTCATATCCGGGGATGGGTTACTGTTTCCCAAACATATGACAAGCGGGATCTGTTGATTCAAGTTCTTTCATCCATTGATGATGGGTTAGAGCTTGAGGAAGCAACAAACTCTCAACTTCATCAAATCTTGCACAGGAGCCTATACTGTAAGAGATACTTAATTGTCATTGATGATATCTAGAGTACTAAGACATGGGATAAGTTGAAGTTGTTTTTCCCTGACCATAACAATGGAAGTCGGATTCTGCTTACTAGTCGCCTCACTGAAGTTGCTTGGCATGCAAAATTACATGGACTTATTCATCATTTACAACATTTGACAGAAGAAGAAAGTTGGAAGTTGCTGTGTGAGAAGGTGTTCAAAGGAGATGAATGTCCCAAATGGTTGATAAAACCCGGAAAGCAAATTACAAAAAACTGTCATGGATTGCCGCTTTCTGTGGTTGTGATGGCAGGAGTTTTAGCAAAAGAACCAAGGCATAAAGATGTGTGGCTAAAAATTTCTTACAGTGTCCATTCGTACATGGCTAGTGACAAGAAAGGATGTCTGGAAACAATAGCATTAAGTTACCACCATCTGCCTCTTCACTTGAGAGACTGCTTTCTCTATCTGGGAGGGTTTCCAGAAGACTACAAGATCCATTCACCATGGTTGCTTTGGGTATGGATGGCTGAGGGATTTATACAAGAAGATGGAAATCAAAGCTTGGAGGAAATTGCCAAGGGTTACCTGGTGGATCTAGTTGACAGAAATCTTGTAATTGTACAAAAACGATATCTTTCTGGTGATATCAGACGCTGTAAAGTCCATGATCTTGTGAGGCAGCTATCAGTGGAAAAGGGAAAAGAAGAAAGATTCTTCCTAAAAATAGAACCACCATCTATTGGTCTTTGTGATATCATAAGAAAACAAATCAATAAATTGAGAAATCAGAATAAGGTAATTACCACAAGTAAGCGTCGCCGTGTGGTCACAAATCAAGAAATCGACATTATGAGTTTGTCTCATCCGCCCACCCCAAGTATTCGATCGCTTTTGTGCTATCCTAAGAAAACAACCTTAACTGACAATATCACAGAGTTTATCCATTTCTTTTCACTTCGAAGGGTGTTAAATTTAGAAAAGTTTTTCCGTTCCTTTGCACTTCTTAGGGTGTTACATCTAGATAAGAGTAAATTAATTGGTTTTCCCCCTGGTTTAGGATTACTAGTTCACTTAAGGCACCTTGAAATTTGGCTGCAATCATTCCCACAATCAATATGCAATTTATGGAACCTTCAGACCCTCTTTGTTAGCACAAGTTCTAGTTCTATGGTTTTACCTAGTAACATATCAAATTTGGTGAATCTGAGGCATTTAACCTGTAACGCAGATTTTTATCTTCCTTCTATTGAAAAACCAATGAAATTGGAAGTTACTACAAAAGTGGTGTTAGGAGATGGGGTAGATAATTTTCAAAAATGTTTTCCTAGGATCAAGAGACTTACATCTACTCTTTACTCTGGTGAGGAAAATGACTTTGAAGTACTCCATTACCTCCAAGTATTGATGTTAATTGGGCCGGGCTACAGCAGAAGGAATCACATTAGGTTTCCTGCAACATTGAAAGAACTTACACTTGTAAGGTGTGGTCTACTATGGAGCGACATGTCGATCATTCAATCGTTACCTAATCTTGAGATTCTCATACTAAAAGACAATTGCTTTGAGGGAACCCTGTGGGAAACAGGTGAGGAGCCATTTCAACAACTAAAATTCTTGTGTCTTGAAGAGTTTAATATCAAAAAATGGGAATCCTCAAGTATCAACTTTCCTTGTCTCAAAGAATTACAGGTGAGGAATTGTGTTGATCTTGAAGAGATACCCCTTGAGTTAGGGGATATCTCAACGCTTGAGTATATTTATGTTTTTGACTGTGGTGCTTCTCTTCTCACATCTCTTCAAAAAATACGACAGGAGCAAGATGATGTGGGAAACTATGAACTTGAGATCATAATTGATGGAAGGAAAATGCCCTCTTGTGTACCCAAGTGTGAAGATTAATACATTTTACTTGACATTATGAATGTTTAGTACATAAATAGTTTGTATAATTGCTACCTAGTACAATGTATGTTGGTCTTCTTTAGTATTAATTGCTGAATGTGTTTTTTTCTCTTAAATGGTTGAATCTTTGTTTAGTCAAGTCTTCTTAGCTGAGTTAAAGACTTAAAGTGAAAGAATAAGGCAACCTGGTATTATTTGTCTTGTATGAGGGAAAAGATTTAATTACTCCAATCAAATGGATTAAGCATCATCGGGAGCACATGTTTCGTTTAGCTGTTAGTTTATTATTGTTGACTGCATATGCTTCCTTCCATCATATAGATGACCTTTCTTATAGTGTTGATAAACTTAGTATCAAAGCAAGATAGTGTTCTTTTTTTAAAAATCATGAATGCAACTATCCGATATGAAGAAACAAGATGCCATATAATGGAACTTCATTTTCAACATTTTTTAATTTACTGAAATTCATGATTCAAAACTTAAATTATTGTAATTTGTGGAAAAGCACATCTTCTACAAGTTTTATTACAATGTTGTATGCAAGAAATAGCAACATACTTTCTTTGATTTGTTTTTTATAACATCCTACTTCTATTTTTTACAATTACAACATTCTACTTGAAAAATCTAACCCAATTACACCAATATCCGATAGAGCATCTTTCACTATTATAATTGGGTAAAATTTTAAAGTATAATGTCCTAATAAAAGAAAAATCAGAAGTAATTTTTAGAGTGCAACATCTTAATAAGAAAAAAAAAATGAAAGTGCAATATTGTAATAAAAAGAAATAGAAGTAGGATGCTATAATACACAAATAAAATGAAAGTACATTGCTATTTCTTACACTTGGCCCTTTTTCACATTAGTTAACTATATATGATTCTTAAACACATATTTACATTAACTTTCTAGGGAGGGCAAGTGGCCACCCATACAGACAGAGGGTGATAGGTGCCTATCCCTATACCCCTTATCCCTATTTATTTCATACAAGTTATGCATTTACAGATCCAAAATATAGGTGCATCTAACATACCACAACAATATATTTTCTCGTGATAATTAGTACAATCCAAAATCAATAAAATATCCAACAGAATTATAGCATAAAAATTGAAGAATGAAAAAGGAACTTTATTTCACACAATAAAAACAACCAAAAAAGAACACATAATCAAAGAGGGACTTTTCTTTTAAGAGTTAGTGCCAAAAGGTTTGAAATGTGTGTGATAGCCAAGAAAGGCCCATTTTACCCTTGAGGCCTTGACCTCTTCACTTTTCCATTGACTTCGACCTCTTCAAAGCAACCACCCTCATCTCCGGTGTGTCACCCACACATCGACGCCGCCCCTCCAGCGACTGTGGGTGTGTACAAGAGAGAACACCAGGAACTAAAGACGCCGCGTAAGACTTCATGGGTTCATTATCCTCTCCCAAGGCTGATGTCATCATCGATTTGGGAAATCCTCTTCTCAATCACAGCGTCGATCGATGACTTCTTCAAAGATCAGAACTCTCTATGTATTCGTTATCTTCTCCCAAAGTGTTTTTTGTTTTTGTTTCTGTTTCTGCTTCCCAATTAGGTCTTAAGAGTTCTAATTTTGATGTGATAATTCGCATTTCAGGTTGCTGCTGCAAAAACAATTGTGGAAGAGACGTACCAAGTGGTCAAACGAGGCTTTCTTGTGTCTAATTTGAATTCGCCTCTTTTTTACTGCCCGATTGATGATAATTTCATTTGCATCACTTGTATTGTTGTGATGAAGTTCCTTGATGTCGAGATCGTCGACCACTGCACGTAAGTTTCAATTCTCTTTTCAGTTATTATAAAAATTCAATCTTTTGTACATAATGTTTCTTTTTTATTTATTCAAATATTATATTTTTGGAGATTTTTGTCAAATGGAAGGGATTGCCTTTAATGACCATAACCACATCTCGATTATTAACTGAAGCTTGATTTGGTTTCCTATGGGTTTGATTAATTTGGAAGTTTGATCCTAGTTTGTGAATTTTCTATAGAAAGAGTAGATATTAAGGGGGTGTTTGGATTAGATTTTTAGCTTATTGCTTATAGCTTATTGCTTAATGCTTATTAAAATTAGCTTATTTAGCCTAATAAGCTGGATTTTATCCAAACACTTAAATTAGCTTATTGTGGGAATAAGCAATAAGCACCTCTTTTTTTCCTATCCAAACACCCCCTAAACTTGATTTGATTGTAATAACTTTGAATTCTCTTCCTTTTGAAGAGAAATGCTTATATATCATTAGATTTTAGAACCTGTCAACTTTAAGACTTGTTGGATGGAAGGGGTCATTTTTATTATTCAACACAACAATTTAGGACATATTTTCATTCAGAGCCTCTAAATCATACGGGCCTATCATTTAGAGGTTGCCAAACAACCCTTTAGTTTATACTCTTTTAATGTAAAAATTATTTATTTATATGTTTCTAATAGCATCCAATATATTAATATCAGCTGTGGAGATATATTAAAAATTGTTACAAGTCCATAGATTCTATTTATATTCTAAATTTATAAGTTTATATAAGGTAATAAAAGTATAAACTTTTATTGGAAATGGAATGAAGAAAAAAAAATTAAAAGAAGACCTTGAAAAGTTTTTAAATGAAAATTAGTATGTGGTGTTCGGATTGGTGGAACCATAATCCCAGCAGACAAGAGCCAACCAATTTTTACAAAGAAAATTCAAAGGGTCCTAATAATTTGCAAAACTAGCAAAACTCATCTTAACTGTTTGGCTTAATTCAAAACTTCAATATAGACCACTACTGTTCTTCAAGAGAATAAGAAACAAGATGGCATACGCAAGTGTCCAGATGTTCATGGGAAAGTTGAAGCAACTGATATACTCCAATGATCAACAACCCATCAATTTTATTTGAAAGGCCTCAATTCCAACTGCTTTATGAAGAGCTTGGTTCCTTGATCCAAACCCTTTTCAACCATGAAGACCAAGTTGGAGTTTTTTTTCCCTGGTGATAACACTGGAAGTCGGATTCTGCTTACTAGTCGCCTCACTGAAGTTGCTTGGCATGCAAAATCACATGGAATAATTCATCATTCACAACATTTGACAGAAGAAGAAAGTTGGAAGTTGTTGTGTGAGAAGGTATTTCAAGGAGATGATTGTCCCAAATGGATGATTGAACCTGGAAAGAAAATTGCAAAAAACTGTCATGGATTGCCGCTTTCTGTGGTTCTGATGGCAGGAGTTCTAGCAAAAGAACCAAGGAGTAAAGATCTGTGGCTACAAACTTCTTGTAGTGTCCGTTCATATATTGCTGGAAATAATAGCATTAAGTTACCACCATCTGCTTTTTCACTTGAGAGAGTGCTTTATCTATTTGGGAGGGTTTCCAGAAGACATCCGGATCTATTCACGAGGGTTGCTTTGGTTATGGATAGTTGAGGGATTTATACAAGAAGATGGAAGTTAAAGGTTGGAGGAAACTGCTAAGGGCTATCTGATGGATCTAGTTGACCGAAATCTTGTAATTGTAGAAAGGAGGTATATTACGGGTGATCTCAGTCATTGTAAAGTCCATGATCTTGTGAGGTAGCTATGTATGGAAAAAGGAAAGGAAGAAAGATTCCTCCTGAGGTTAGCCTCGCCACCAACATATAATCATCTTTGTAAGGTAGTTACCACACATAAGCAACGTCGTGTGGTCATAAATCAAGAAAGCGACATTATGAGTTTGTCTCATCCAACCACCCAAGTATTCGATCGCTTTTGTGCTTTAATAGGAAAACAACCTTTACTAGACAATATCTCAATGGTTTACTACACCTTTGCACTTGGAAGGGTGTTAAATCTAGAAAAGTTTTTTCATTCCTTTGCACTTCTTAGGGTGTTAAATCTAGAAAGATATGAATCGATTGATTTTCCCCCTATTTAGCATTACTAGTTCACTTCGGTAAAATTTCGCAGAAGAACTGGGTGGAACAAAACTGGATTGGATTGGACTGAACAAGATTGGATTGGACTGGGCCGAACATGACTGAATTGGAGTGGGCTGGACTGAACTAAACAAATTAAATAATTTGTGTAGTGTTTGGTAAGACTGAACAAATCATAATAGAACAAGTTGTCTGAAATTTTTTGGTAACAATACAACTGGACAGAACAAGATGTAAAAAGGACCATACTACCCTTTTGCAAAAAATATTCATAATAACTCTATTTACCATACATAACTTCAAAATAAACATTTTTATTAAAAATTACTTAACATTTTCATATTAAAACAAGTTCAAATACCCAAATAATCAAAATTGTTTCAAAATTAACAAAATTCTAAACCAAAATGGTTTCCAAAATCCTTAATTTTAAATAAAAAAAATAACAAACTTCAATTGTCATCTTCCAATATAGTCTTTACAAAAAATGGTTTGGTAGTTGCGTCCAAACTATTCCACATTGGTAACAAATTAAGAAAAAAACATACCTTCAGATAATTGGAATTAGATACCCCTACCCTTGATAAGAAATCGTCAACAGATGGAGAAGTAATCAACACTAAATCGAGAATCAAGATCCAAGAATGATAATATTTTGTGATGGGAGAGGATGATTAATTGAAGAATAAGATAAATAGAGGAGCCGATGGATAAGAAGTGAAAGCAAGAAAAGCGTTTCAGGGTTAATTTCGGCACATGGAAACAAAAAAAAGAATGTGTTCCACTTAATTCAACCTATTTGGGTGGGACTATTTTTTTACTGAGTTGTCCCATTCGACTTAGTCACTCATGTACCAAAGGTCAGATTTATGCAATGACAAATACCATCTTTTTAATAGCGCTTCCGTTTATTGAATTGGATTTTTAAAAGCTATAAACTAGTTTTAATGTAACCAAATAAGGTCGATTTAATTGTTTTTAGGTTATTCGGTTTGATTACCCAATTAAACAATTAAAATTTCTTTTATAGATTTTCTAACTATGTATAAAATGGGTGT